CGCCTGCCCTGCCTGTCTCGGACCCCGGACCCTGGCCCACGTGGCCGCCTGCGCCCTCGACACGCGCGCTAAGGGTCTGCGTCCCGGGGAGCCAGGAGCCGGCCGGGAGTCGGGGGCAGAGTGAGACACCCCGCAGGGCGGGGACCAGAGGAGGTACCTTGGCGGAATGAGCAGATCAATAACAGATCAATAGGTAAGAGGATATAAGAGAAGGCAGAGGTGGCCCCGGGGATTCAGGTCGGTGTGTACACCTGGTGGCACGTGCAGACCGGCGCCAGGGCTGGGTTGGTGTGGGGGGTGGGGAAGAATGGCAATTGGGCCCCTGGAGGGTCTGGGGGACCTAGGAAGGAGGGGTGTTAAAGGACTAAGAGCACTCTGTGGGAAACGGGCCTGCACTTTTCTCTTAGAACGTTTGTCTTCCCCAAGCAGGGGAGGTGTCTGAGAATAAATGTCTTTGGGAATCGTTTGTTCCTTTGAATGTGTCCCTATGTCTGTGTTTGAGCCAAAAGGAGATCCCACCCCTCCTCCCTCCTGTAGCTGAGGAGTTGAGATTCATCTTGACCTCATCTGAGTGGATCCCAGTGGGGTCCAGCAACTAGAGCCGATCCTGGAGCTGGTTCTGCAAGGCTGTTAGAGGAAGGTGCCCCTTCGAGAGGAGGCTGGCACTCAGACCCCATAAGGAGAGACATTTCTTGAGTCAAAGCAGGTGGAGAGTGAAAGAGGCATGTCTGCAAGGTGGTAAGCTCCGGTCATGAGGTCTATGAACAGATAACCAGATGGAGCCCAAGCGCCCCTCAGGATCTCAGCTCTTTGGTTTTCAATGACCCAGCATTTCCACACTCCCTCAGACACTTTGCACTGTCGCCAGGGCAACTTAGTTTTTCTCCTGTTGCCACTGAGGTTGGGGCACTTTCTCCCATTTGGGGGCTCAAAGTGCTCTACTTCCTCCTATTCCACACCAGGCTCACTCTCTCCTGCCCTCTTTCCATCCTGGCATTCAACGCTTAGCCTCAAAAATGAGCCTCCCTTGCTCTAACACCACCTATGGCTCTCTTCTCCTCTGTGACGTGACCTGAGTCCATCCTCAGACAATTCCAACTGTCTGGAGCTGTACCCGGGACACAGCTCCCTTCTGCCCTGACCTTGGTCCTGTAGGAATACCTCAGAGGGCGACCTGGCCCCCAATCTTCATCTCGGGGTGCTCTGGGCCAAAGATGGAGGCAGCCCTGTGGGCAGAGAAAGCCCAGCTCTGGTCTACCTCACTGCACCCTAGGGAAATGCCACCAGCTTCAATTTTCCCATCTGTCAATGAGGATTGTGGTTGCCCCAGTTGTGGGGTTGCTAGGAATAAATGGGCAGGAAGCCCACCTATGTGGCGCTGCCAGGCATAGAAGTGCCCAGCGAGCAGTCCTGTGCCTTCCCACTCTGCTTGCCTGCCTTCATCTGGAGTGACCAGCTCCCTGGCTCCTCTGGGCACCAGCCCAGGCCGAGGCAGGCTGACTCATGCATAGGAGAGTGGGCACGGCATCGGTTCCACTCTGTGGCTGCTATTTATAGCAGCCAGGCTGGGGTGTAGGCCTTAGGCGCCAGGGGAAGACAGGCCTGAGTTCCCTCCTGGCTCTCCCTGGGGTATGAAGGCTCCATCCTCCACTGGAGTACCCCTCACCCCACAGTGGGCCTAGTGAGCAGAGGGCTGGGCCCTGGCCTTAGGTGGCAATACCTGCTGTCTCCCTCCCTGGCAAGCTTCACAATCCAAATAGTGAAGACAAGGGGACTCACACGAGGAGGATGAGCAAGGCAGAGCTGAGACCTGGGTCTCCCTGGGTTCCCTGCTACTTCTCATCCCTGCTCCCTCTTTGGAAAGTCCCCCAGTGGCACAGAGGTGGGTGAGGAAGGACTCTCAGAGGCGGCCATCTTATTGGCAGGGAGGACGCATCAGCCCCTCCAGCTCCCAATACTGGCAGGGTCCACTAAATCCTCCACAGTGAACCCTGCCAGGCAGCCCACACAACAGGAGTACCAGTTTTGCATGCTGAGCTGTATGCAGCATGCATGACACCACTGTCCCTGCCATTGTCCTGAAACCGAGGCTTAGAGAAAGGAAGCAACTCACTTGAGGTGGCCCAGCAAGGAAGACCCTGGGTTGGGACTAGAATTCAGATCTATCAGGCTCTGAAGCCACAACCCAGCCTGCTGGGGATGTGTGACTGCCTTTTGGTGACCCCTTCTCCCTGTCCCTGGCCGTCTGGAAGCTGTTCATTGGTAGTGTCCTGGCTCCTTACCTGGTCTTGCAGCCCTTATGGGATCTCTCCTCACCCTGGTACCCCGGCCAGGACCACACTGGCCTCATGTGTCCCCAGCTGGCTGGCAGAGAGGGTGGCTGGCTCCTGTTCTTTGCTCTTTTCTGTGTTCCTTGGACTAATGTGATTATGCGGGCAAAGCACAGGCTGTATCTAGCAACCTTTCAGATGTTATGTCAGAGACCTCTCTATGACCATGGTGCTAAGAGAGTCTCCCTTTGCTCTCTCCCCCTATAGTTTGATTTCCTTTTCCACCCATTTATAGTTACTTGACACATTCATGACGAAGTGATATCATCTGTCTCCTTCACTAAGACATAGCCACCTCTGGAGGGTCATCCACTGGTGGTATATGAGGATGTCCTTGGTTGCCCTGTGGGTGCCCATGGCAGAGTGGGTGGGGGCCAGGGATGCTGCCCAGCTCCCTGCAGTGCCCAGGATCCAGCCCACACATCCACAGGGTGCCACGCCCACAGCACCAGCCTCAGCTGGGAACGTGGCAGAAATGCAGAATGCTGGGCCCACCTCCTGAGTCAGAGATGCACCTATGACACACAGAATGGCCCTAAATGTCCACAGTGCTGGGAGCCCTGTGCTCAGGGTCACCTCATCTGGCCTGAGTCTGGCTGGGCCAGAACAAGCTCAGATGGAAGTCCAGCCAGACCCTCGAGAGACTCCCCAGCTGATCTGGCCACCTTCCTTCATAGAGAAGCCGTATAGTGTGAAGCTGGTCACACTGCTATGTATGCACCACCTCAGCAGACCCTCCCATCCCTCAGGACACAGGGACCCTAAACATTCTGCCTAACCTGATGCCCACCTCCAAGATGGCACACCATGGTCACTTCTGACCTCAGTCAAGAACACTGAGACCAGGTGCATACATGCCCTGAGGGCTGTAGGTTTGGGGTCTGTAGAGGCCTAGGGTGTGGCAGGGACAGAGGAGGGGCCTCTTTCTTCCCACCCCTGCCCAATCTGGCCTTAGCACCTGAGAGCTGAGAGGTTTTCCAGAGTCTTCACAGACAAGCCCTGGGTGCCATGCACCAGCCCTTGCTGGTAGGGGGCAGGGGAAGGACCATCCTCTGCCCTCTGAGCCTTGGCCCCTCCCCATGTGCAGGGAGGAGAGGTCAGGATAGCTGTAGCATCAATGTGAAAGGAGTCTTTATTGGTGGCAGGCTGGTCACTTCCTTGCCTTGAACCTGATGTAGTTCAAGTCTCATGCTGGCAGCCCAGACTGGCAGCTGGGATAGGGGGACGCAGCATCCTCTTCCTGGCAGGGCAGAGGGCCTAGAGCTGGTGGCCAGGATGGTCTGATGATGCTGTTGGCTGGGAAACACAGTCTCATCTGCCACTGCTGGTTTTTCTGGGCCCCCAAAACACATGGGAGGGAACTGGTGCTCCTCATCCCCGCCCCACACTAATAACTTCTGCAAAAGAAATGCAAACAAGAGACAAAGGAAGCCCAACACACTGTTATTATAGTTGATTCAGCTGCGAGGCCTGGGTGCCGCCTTGCCATTTACTGCTGTGTCTACAGATCAGGGGGTGGGGGGATGTGGTTTACTCTATCCAGCTGTTTCTGTGATAAGACCCTCCATGGAGAGCTCCTGAGGGAGGCTGCCCACTCCCTAGGTGGGGACCTGAGCCCAAGTCCTGAGTTGACTCTCCAGCCTGCCCGTGACCCATCCTACCTCATGACTGTACCTGCCTGGGCTCTGGGCAAGGCTGCTAGGCCTGACTGGTCCTTGCCTGTGACCTGCCCACCCCTGGCCAAGAGTATTGAGCAAATGCTAGGGGCAAGGCATTCAGATAAATGCAGCTTGGACTTTTGTGCTTAGAATTTTGTTTTTTCCTTTTTTTTTTTTTTTTTTTAAGAGAAACCTGTTTGTGCTATTTGGGCACAGTCCTGTCCAACCCCATTGGCTGTTTCTGGTCCCTGCCTGTATGTTAAATGTTGCAGCTACCTTCACCCTCTCCTCTGTCCACCATCTCTGCTGTCATGACCTGGCCTTTGTACACAATCCACCATCACTCACACTAGGTCTTCCCATGAGTTAGGGCTGGGTCTCTGCCCCTAGGCCCTGTGGACTTTGGGGCTGGAGCGTTCTCTGGGGTGGGCTCTTCTGGGCACTGCAGGTGCTAAGTAGTGCCCCTGCTTCCACCTACCCCACAGCAGGAACATGCCATAATGACAACCACAATGTACACAGGCATGGCCCAGTGTCCTCTGGTGGGCAGAACCCACCTCCAGCTAATAACCACAGGCAGTAAAACAGACCCCTAAGGAGGCTGCCTCTGTGCTCCTGCAGGCCACTGGACAATCCCACAGACCCACAGAGATGGATAATGCCTCCTGGCTTATGCCGTCCCACCTGGCAGGACTTGCGACACGTAGCTAAAGCAGGTGCCAGTCCATGACTGCAAGGAAGTGACAAATCCATAGCCTTCCTCAAGTGGAAACTTATTACCAAGTTACAGCGGTAAGAGCCACTGGGCAGCCTCAGAAGACCCTGCTCTGGGCCAGACTTGGCCACTGTTGGGCAGGTGGCCTGAGGTATGGCCTTGCTTCTCTGCCTGTCAGGTGAGCAAGCTGACCACCCTGCTTCTTTTTACCCTAATGTGGAGCTGTGCTGATTTCCTCATTAAAAGTAGGGAAAGCAGACCAAAACCAGTCTGAAAGACACCTGGTGGCCCACTGTAGCTGACCAAGTCTGCTGTGTCCCCTGCAGCTCCTGTGAAGCAGGACAGGGAGCACAAGTCCTGCAGGCTGTGGCCCTGCTACACCAGCTTAGCCTCCTCCTAGACCTCTTAGGGTCCCAGTATCCTTGGCAGGGCCTGGAAGTGGCTTTACTGGGGCGGCAGAACCCTAAGGAGAGAAAGGCAGCTGGGCCAGCCACAGCCCTGCAAACACAAGGCATGGTAAGCAGCATGTGGAGGACTGGAGAGACTGAGATTGCTGGGCTGAGGCACTCAGGTGAATCTGCACAGGTCCCACAATTTCTAGCTGTGGCCCCATGGGCCTGCAGGAGACTAATGGAGTGGGTATTTGGGGTCCTTCCACACCATGGGGCTCCTTGGTGGCCTGGAGGTGCCCTTAGGGGAATGACATGGTTTTGGAGGCTTCTCTGGGGAGAAGGGGAAGAGGCAGCCTGGAACCCTCAGGCCAAGGTTAGCAGGCTTGCTGATGCCCCTAGGGCCACTCTGGAATGCTGACAGCAGATGGAAGGGCAAGACCTCACTTCCTATTTCTGACAGAGGTAGGATAAGGGGCACAAAGCAGAGACCTCAATTAGACTGAGCTCTGCCCCCACATGGGGCTACCTGGGGATTTTTTTTTTTTTTGGCAGTTTTTGGCTGGGGCCAGGTTTGAACCCACCACTCCTGGTATATGGGACCAGCACCCTACTCCTTGAGCCATAGGTGCCACCCCAGCTACCTGGGGATTTGTGTATAGATTTCATACCCTCCCCTGGCAGGGTTCTGGGCTCACAACAGGCCACCCACCCAGGGCAAAGGCCAAACAGAACCTTCTGGTTCTCGGGCATGGTTTCAGGGTGAAGTGACAGGCAGAGATGGGAAAACACTGCGTTTTAGACAGTGATGCTTTTACACCCACTAGGCCAGGCATAAGGACAGGGTCAGGCTACATGAGGGTCAGAGATGGGTTTCCGGTAAAAGATTCAGAAGCTCCTGGAAATGAGCCTGATACTCCCAACAGGAACCGTAGGGATCCTTGAAGTGGAAGTTTAGGGGGGACGGGCTGGGGCACATGTTCAGCCTCCCAAGAGTTTGGGGAGGGTGAATTCTGATTTATTTCCTGAAACTTCTCACAACTCTTAGGGGCCAGGGCTATTTTGAAGGTTATTTTTTCCTGAGCCTGGTAAGGTTGAGCTGGCTGCAAAAGGCCAGCTAGCCAGGTGTGCCTACCCCTCAGTAAGTCATTAGCTGGGCCAGGAATTTTCCATCTGGCTGAAGTGATGGAGAGGAGGCCCTGCTGAGCCCAGGCCATGAGACAGATGGGGACCTCTTCTTGCTGAGGTACTTAACTGGTCCCCCCATGGCATGGTCATCTGAGCACAGGAAGGGAACCCAGGATTCTAGAAAGGAGTGTACCTGGGCCCTAATGCCCAGTGCTGAGTAGATGAGGGAGGATGTGGGAACAGCTGGTCACAAGGAGCCCCTAACAGAACTGGGCAGCTGGGACTTAAGGTGGGTGCAGCCTGCTAGAACACTCAGCCCAGGCTGCCAGGCTGGGCTCCCTCCTGTTGCACCACAGGTGGCTTCAAGCCAGGCAGAGCAAAATCCCAAAGGAAGGTGTCTCACCCAACTCTCATTTCTCAAGACACATCAGCCAAGGTTACTGGGACAACAGGCCAGGCTGAGGGGAGGTTGCCACGGAACTGGAGCCCAGGGCTTCCCTTGCCCATGCCCAGCTGTTTGTCTCCTGCCCTCCTACCCCCTAGGGCAGTGACTGGTTTCACCATGTGTTGTGCCTGGTGGCACATAGCACCACAGGGCCCCAGCCCCATGGCCAGAGGGACCTGTCTTCCTCAGGAGACTCTGGACATGTCTGGAGCAGAGCACCGATTGCAAGAAGCCCTGGCTATGCTCATGTACCTCAGAAAACCAAGATGCTCACCTGGCCTGGTGGCTTTAGCCTCCTCCCTGTTCCAAGGGGGCTGTACCAGAAGGATAGAAGATGGTACCCCTGAGGGTTCAGGAAAAGTCTATGTTCTGTGGCACACCCTAGCATAGCAGGAGGGACAGAGCACAGGCTATATGGCTGTGAATGGGCATCCCATGTTGAAGAGATCTCTTCAGAAATCATCTGCAGTGCCCCACTGCAGCAATGTAAACCTCTAATAAACCTTAGGATGCTCTCAGGACTTGGGGGGAGGTTGCTAAAGGGGTCTGGTCTTAGTAACATGGCCAGGCAGTGGATATGGGCCTTGGAACCTCCTAACCAGTTCCCATGGTGTGGACAGTGCTGCTCCTGCTCTGGGTACAGCTGCACAAATGCCCCTATCCTGATCTGCAGGCTAGGGGTACACAGCTACCCAGCCTGGCCCAGGCCCACTTCCCCGAGTTACAAGATCCCCTGCCCAAGGTTCACAGCCATGCAGCTTTGGTAAATACTTTTAAGAGTATTTCAAAAAGGAGCAGTGCCCTGAGGCTTGGGGTATGGGGCTGGGGTGCAGCCTGGTCCAAGGTCCCTGCGCGTAGGCAGCAGCAGCAGGGGCACAGCACTCGCTCTGTCTTGCAGATGTGGCCCAGGTCCAGCCAGGGCTCCTGGTGGAGTGGCGGTGGTGAGGACTGGCACAGACACTCACCACTTGAGGAAGACCATGCCAGCCAGGGCGGCATAACCCAGCACCAGAAAGAGGACCTTGAGTAGGCGGTCACTCTTCTCCTCCAGCTCCTTGGCCAGGATCTCAAAGAAGGTGACAAAGAGGAAGGTGCCGCCTGCCAGGCCCTGTAGCAGCACAGAGGCCACACTGCTGGGCATGCCCTGGCTGCTCTCGATGCCCAGGCCCACACTCACACCCAAGGGGATTGTGATGCTCACAGCCACCGCCAGCTTGGCTGCATCCCTCAGGGGCATGGCACTCCTGGCCATGCTGATGCCCAGGGCCACTGCCACCAATGTCTCATGGACAGCCACACCTAAGAACAGACTCACGACCTTCCCGCCCTCCTCCTGCAGGCCCAGGGCCAAGCCTTCAAAGACCGAATGGGCTGACAGGGCGAAAGCCAGGCTGAGCAGGCGCACAGGGCTGGGGTGTGCCAGGCCCTGCATGCTCAGGCTGTGGCCATGGCCATGGGGTTCCACATAGAGTGCATGGCCACGTGCAGCCCCCATGAAGGGGCTCTCATACTCTGAGTCGCTGCCCACATCTGAGCCAGCATTGAAGGTCTCCAGGTCGATGAAGGATGGCCTCTCCTTACGGAAGTTCAGCACCATCTGCTCCAGGAGGACCGTCAGGAAGAAGCCCAGCATCATGAGTGTTTCCGCCAGTGGGTAGTCGGTGCTAATGTGCCCAAGGCTCAGAACTTTCTGGAGCTGGAGCAGAGGACATGTGCAGGACAGAGAGACACATTCACCATTTGATCAGAAAAGTATAGAAATACCTGAGTCACATAGAAGTTAAAAAACGGGGGTAGGGAGTGCTCACCTGCGATGGATTAAAAAAAAAGATCATCCATCATAAGGAATTATGAGGTCTCGAGTTACAATGACCAAACAATTTTAATGTACTATGGTGAACTGGGGCTCCCCAAAGAACCTCAGGGTAAGACTACTTGGAATAACTGCAGATGTAATTAAAGTGTTACAGACCAAATTGTGTCCTCCCTAAACTCATATGTTGAGGTCCCTCAACATGCAGTAGCTCAAGATACAACATTTGGAGATAAAGTCTTTTTTTTTTCTTTTTTTTGAGACAGAGTCTCATTTTCTTGCTCCCTGGTAGCATGCTACGGCGTCATAGCTCACAGCAACCTCAAACTCTTGGGCTCAAGCAATCCTCTTGCCTCTGCTTCCCAAGTAGCTGGACTACAGGCTTCCGCCATGATGCCCGACTTTTTTTTTGGAGATGGGGTAAACATAAAGTATTTAAAGAGGCAATTAAGCAAAGATGAGGTAACTGGGGCCAGGTTTCTAATCTAATAAGACTTGTTTATTTTTTTGAGAAACAGGGTCTCTGTCACTCAGGCTAGAGTACAGTGCCATCATAATAGCTCACTACAGCCTTAAAGTCCTGGGCTCAAGTGACCCTCCTACCTTAGTCTCCTAAGTAGCTGGGACCACAGATGTGCACCACCACTGTGGCTAATTTTTAAATTTTTTATAGAGATAGGGTCTGGTTATATTGTCCAGTCTGGTCTCTAACTCCTGGCCTCAAACAATCATCCTGCCTTCGCTTCCCAAAGTGCTGGGATCATAGGCGTGAGCTGCCTAGGACAGGTTTTCTAATAACAAAAGGAAGAGGTGGGGCACGGTGGCTCACACCTGTAATCCTAGCAATCTGGGAGGCCAAGGCAGGTGGATTGCTTGAACTCACGAGTTAGAGATCAGCCTGAGCAAAAGTGAGACCTCATCTCTACTAAAAACAGAAAAACTGGCTCGGCGCCCTTAGCATTGTGGTTACAGCACCAGCTACATACACTGAAGTTAGTGGGTCCGTACCCAGCCTGGGCCAGCTAACCAACAATGACAACTAAAACAACAACAAAAAAATAGCCGGGTGTTGTAGTCCCAGCCACTTGGGAGGCTGAGGCAAGAGAATACTTTGAGCCCAAGAGTTTGAGGTTGCTATGAGCTGTGACACCACAGCACTCTACCCAGGGTGACAGCTTAAGACTGTCTTTAAAAATAAAAAGGAAAGAGGCTTGGTGCCTACGGCTCAAGTGGCTAAGGTGCCAGCCACATACACCTGGGCCAGCCGGTTCTAATCCAGCCCGGGCCTGCCAAACAATAATGACGGCTGCAACCAAAAAATAAGCAGGCGTTGTGGCGGGCGCCTGTAGTCCAGCTACTTGGGAGGTGAAGGCAGGAGAATCACTTGAGCCCAGGAGTTGGAGGTTGCTGTGAGCTATGATGCCACAGCACCAAGGACAATCATGTGAAGAGGCAGCAAAGAGAGAGGTTTCAAAAGGAACCAGCTTTGTCAGCTCCTTAATCTTGGACTCCTGGCCTCCAGAACTGTGAAAATACATTTTGACTGTTTAAGCCACCCATATATGACATTTTACTATACTGGATAAGGTCAGGACCTTAAGATGAGGTCACCCTGGATTCCCAGTGATAGGTACCCTCACAAGAGGTAGAAAAGGAGACATCACAGATGCCAGAGAGAAGGACCTGTGAGGATGGAGGCAGAGGTCAGGGTGATGTGTCTATAAGCCAAGGGATGCCAAGGATACTGGCCACCCCCAGAAGCCAGGAGAGAGGCATAGGATGGATTCTCTTTCATGGTCACCCAAAGATCCTGAGGGAACTAGCCCTGCTGAAACCTGATGCCTGTGTGGGGCTTGCTGGCCCTGGGTGACATGCTGGGAATGAATGTATATGAGGCTCACTGGCACAGAACTTCCCAGGTGATGGAAATGTATTGTGTCTGTGCTGTCTGACACAGAAGCTGCTGGGGCCAATAAGAACCTGAAATATGGCTGATGCACCCAAGGATCAGAATATTGGGTTTTATCAATTTTAATTCACTGAAAGATGAACAGCAGGCATGGGGCGCAGCTGCTATGGTGAATAGCACAGTTCTGGATGCCACCCCACGAGGTGAGGGGAGCTCTCTTAGGGCCTAGGTTCATTCTTCCTGGGTCTGTAGTCATTTGCAGACCCCAAGCTCTTTCCAGCCTTGGGCCTGGGACATTTCTCCCTCAGCTTTACACCCTTTGGGTTCAGCTTATATATAAATTTCCAAGTACTGTCCCTAACCCAGGTGCCCTGCAGTGGATTCTTAGCATTTCATGTGGCCTCTGCATCCTCTCACACCAGAAACTGGGCTTGTTTACCCTGACACAGATTCATTCTCTGCCTCCTCCCAGATCCTCAAGGAGGTTGATCCATTATGTCTTCACCTCGGACCACCTCCCTCTGGGATGGCTGGATACACCTGACATGACTTCGTGTCTGAACCCATACCCTGCACAGACTGGGCAGACTTGCCCAAATGACCCCCTCTCTGTCACAGCCACAGCACTCAGAGCTGGCACCTGTTGCCCCCAAATCTGCCAATGAGAACTCCCCTCTGGAAACCTGTTTGAGTAATGCCCAGTACCTTGAGTGCACTCACCTGCTCTCCCTCACTCCCTCTACCCACTAGCTGAGCTGGCATGGCCTACAGGCCTGCTGCCCTCCCTCTGTGGTTGTAAACAGTTAACACTGCCCCTGCTGCTCCATGGGTTTTATTGTGCTGTCTCTTGTCTTGCCTGACTGACACACCTGAACCTAACTGTCCTTGTCAGGACTCTCCTGAGAGGGATCACCTTGGTAAGAAGAAACTGGACTCAGGTCAGACAAGAGCCACAAGCGTATCTCCATGATAAACAAGCTTCCTGTGAGAGGGCCACCTGGTTACAGGTCCCACTTACGCACTAGGCCTTTAACCAGGATAAAGAAATATCCCAAAGGGCACCATAAAGAGCCATGGCCACCTCCCCTGGGGCACTATCAGGGCAGGGTATGGCCCTGATGCTCTCACCCCCTCATCAGGATGAGAGCATAGAGCCATACCCAGGAGAAAGACCTCAGGACTAAACTAGAGGAAAATCACAACAAGAAAACTCCAACACTAGAGGAAAACTCCAACACTTACACCACCTGCTTCTTCCCATCACAGATTTCCTTATAATCTATAAGCATGTGAGCACACTCACATATACTTCCTTACAACCTGTAAATACACACATGCATACAAATATACACGCAGAGAGAGACCACACACAGACACACATGTAGTGCTTCTCAACTGGGGTGATTCTGTGTCCCCAGGGGACACTTAACAATGCCTACAAACATTTTTGGTTTTCATGACTGGGTTGGGGGCAAGGTACTGACATTCAAGGCCAGATCATTCTCTGGGCTGGGGACATCCTGGGCCCTGCAAGGTGCTGAGTCGTGTCTTTGTGCCCACCAACTCTATAGCTGGAGCTCCCCAGTTCTGATAACCAAAATATCTCCAGACATAGCCTAGGGTCCCCTGGAGACAAGATCATCCCTGGACGAGACCCCGACTGCAGTGGAAGGCTGTGTTTCTATAGAGAAGTCATTTTATTTGTTCACTAAACAGCTACTAGAGGTCTTTCACATGCCTCACCTGGGGACACCCAGCTCACAAGAAACTCCAGCTATGCCCAAAGAGACAAACAATCACCAGGAAAGATAAGACTGACCCACAAAGAACTGTGAGCTGGGTGCTGAAGAGTGTCTGTGAGGCTGTAGGGTCTGGAGGAGGGACACATCTCTAGGCTGGTGAGCCTGAGGGCAGGTGTAGGGGGACAGTTTGGGGAGTCCTGAGAAGGCCCACTACAATGGTCCAGCCTGTGGTTGGAGGTGGACTAGAGATGAAATAATGCGCATGTGAGAAAAAGGGGGATGGATATGACATAACCATATTAAAGACAGGGTCTTTTAATAATGTTTTGTAGTGACAGGGTCTCACTATGTTGCCCAGCCTGGTCTGGAGCCCCTGAGTTCAAGCCATCTTTCTGCCTTGGCCTCCTAAGTAGCTGGAACTACAGGTCTGAGCACTGTGTCCAGCACAACTGAGATTTTTATCCTTCTTGGTGCCAACTGTTCGTTTTTAATGCTGCATAACCAATGAACACAGACGTAGAGGCACAAAACAACTCAATGCATCTTATCAGTTCTGAATGTCAGAAATCCAGGCACAGGTTGGCTGGGTCTTCTGCTCAAGGTCTCACTGGGCTGAAACCTCATCTGAGGTGTCCTCTTCAAAGCTTACAGGGGACTGGCAGAATCCACCTCCTCTGAGGTCCCCGCATCCCTGCTGACTGTTGATAGGAGATGGCTCTCAGCACCTAGAGGCCACCTGGGATTCTTGTCCCATGTCTCATCCCTTGTACACCACAGCTTTTTGCCTCTACAAGGCCAGGAGGGTGACAGGCTCACCTGATTAGGCCAGGCCCTCACAGACACTCTCCCTTTAGACTTACTTGATCTTAACTCATTTGACATCATCACAGCTGCAAAATCCTTCCTGTTGGATGATATAATTGTGGCAGTGACACCCCATTGTGGTCCGAGTCCTGTCCACATTTAGGGAAAAGAACAATCCAGGCCATGCACACAAGGAGATGGAAGCATTGGGCCATCCTGAAATTGTACCCACCACACTAACAGGCTCCAAGGAATAAATCCTAGACAACAGCACTTCTCTTCCTTTCTGGAAATGTGGCATAAGAAAAAAACAGAGGAGAGGGCTGGTAAACTCAGGACTTCTGTAATTTCTGGGGTAGAGGAAGCAAATGAGGTCCTCACATTTCAACCAAGCATGCAGGCCAACTCAAACCCAACCACCATATCTGCCATTGACCCAGAGACAGGAAGCAACTCACCTGGGGTCCCCAGCAAACATGACAATGGCCCATCTGGCTGTGGCCCTATAAGAACTCCTGATTTTTGAAGAGCTTGAGGACCAAGTCATTTTAGGACTTGGAGTGGACAGATTGCAAGATGGGCCCCAGTGATCCCTGCAAGGTCCTCACCCCTGGAGTAGGGGAGGGACCTGGAACTTCCTTCCAACCAGCAGAATGCTAGGACAGAGGTGAAGGGACAACACTTCTATAACTACGGTACATGAATTTGTAGCTTCTGTCTTATAGGTAGCTCTACTGTCTCCTCTGCTTTCAGATGAAGCAATTGACCGCACCAGGGAGGCTCACATAGCGAGGTACCAAAGGCTGCCCCTGGCCAACAGCCAGTGAGAAACAGAGAGGCCCATGGTCTGAGAACCAGCGAAAAACTGAATCAGCCTTAAAACCACATGAGGTTGGAAGCCAACCCATCCCCGGTCAAACATTAAGATGAGACCACAGACTAGGACAGCAGTTCTCAGCCTATGGGTTGCAACCCACAGGAACTATATTAAAGGGCTGCAACCCACAGGAACTGTACTAAAGGGCCGCGGCATTAGAAAGGTTGAGAACCACTGTGAGGCCCTGGATCAGTGCCCAGACTCTTAACTCACAGAAATGATGAGGTAATAAATGTTTCTTAACATGTTACATTTGTTACAACTCATTACACAGCAATAGCTGACTAATATGGGAACTAAAGAAGAAAGGTCACACTTTCCAGCTTCCAGACAGAGTGTGTACTACCTGGGTGGTCTGGTCTGAAAATGTATCAGGTGACAATGGACAAGCCCCCCCTTGGGAATCCCAGGTCAAGCACAAACCCTCTGTTTATCAGGTAAGGCACAGAAAGAGAAGGCATCCAATTCACAATCACACAGCAAATTCATTTCTACTTTGTATCACCCTTTTACCATCAAGGCCCCCACTGACCTTAGAATTAGTGTTGAAAATACATCAGAGCCCCTCAGCCATAATGTGCCACAGGGCTGCTGCCTCTACCCAAGGAACTCATACCTTTTCCCTCACAGCAGGCAGCAGAGCGTTGAAGCAAGTGGCCAGGAAGACCCCGCCTCCAAAGGTGTTGCAGAGAGAGAGGATCTTTTTCGAGCGATGGGCCTTCTCAAAATCCGTCTCGATGATCTTCACAGGGAGCAGAGAGCCCAGCAGCATAAGGAAGAACACGCCCACCATACAAAGGATCTTGGCCACTAACAACTTCATCATGGTGGAAACCTAGGCTGCTCCAATCACTGCAGGGCCCAAACCATGAGCAGGCACACACTGTAGCCCCACCACGTGCTACTGGGCCAGACCATGCAGCTGGAGGCTCATGCCTCAGTCCAGCAACTGTGAACAGTGTGTTAGCTGCCCGATCATCTAACCAGCTCTGGTGACTGAGTCTGTCACACCAATGACTTCATTCCATTCTCCCAGCTTGGTGCACGTCACTGCCTCCTACAGAAAATCCTCCAGTGCTGGGCCGTCTAGCTGCATGTGTCTGTTTAAATTAATTAAAATTAAATAAAATCTAAAATTCAGCCCCTCAGTCTCACAGGCCACATTTTTTCTGTTTGGTCACCATAGGAGCCTCAGGTTACTATATTATACAGCACAGACAGAGACCATCTCTGTTGCTACAGATTGTTCTACTGAATGGTACTTCTCTAGCAGCTTCCCACCACCTTGACATAAAATGCCACCTCTTTACCTTAATGCTAAAGGTCTGGACCTTGAGTGTACTAAGCTTGTTTGAGCTTCAGGGCCTTTGCACGGGTTATTGTCTCTCTGCCTACAACACCCCAACCCCACCCCTGCAATCCAGTGATATCTTCATCTGGCTGACCTCTACTTTTTTTTTGAGATGAGTCTTTTTATGTCACCCTTGGTAGAGTGCCGTGGCATCACAGCTCACAGCAACCTCAAACTCTTGGGCTTAAGCGATTCTCCTGCCTCAGCCTTCCAAGTAGCTGGGACTACAGGTGCCCACCACAACGCCTGGCTTTTTTTTTGTTGTTGTTATTGTAGTTGTCATTGTTGTTTAGCAGGCCCAGGCTGGGTTTGAACTTGCCAGCCCTGGTGTATGTGGCCAGCACCCTTACCATTGAGCTACGGGTGCCAAGCCAAGACCTCTGCTATAAGCCGTATGCCTTGTACCCACCACACGAGAACAGATGCTCAGCAATCGCTGGTTGAACAAATAGGCAAGTTGAAATGTGGATTCTGAGAAGGGCCTCTTTATATGACTTGAGAGCCAAAGTGGAGTAGATTTCACCCTGGACCCCCAAATGTCACCATTATTGGGAAGAATCTAAGCCCCTTCCCTATCCTTGTGGTCCACTCCCCCCTTTCCCAGTTCTTCCTATGGCTGCTCCCTCATTTCATTTGGGTCTCCCGCCACCGGTGAGAAAGACCCCGACCTCTCCTCCCCTCGCGTAATTTCTTCTATTGTGTACTGCAGGGAAAACTACATTATTTAGTCTTTAAAAGTAGTCTCTTCTTCTAGGCTGTAACCTCCTTGGGGACAAGGTAGCTCAAGACCCGCAGGACCCAGTGCAGAGCAACAGAAACACATAGTAGGCACCCAATAAACACCAATCTGATAGCTGGATGCCCCAGTATGTAGAGTGGCGGGTGAGGGTGGCTTGAACACTCTCAAACGGGAGGGCTCTCAAATGGGGGCGCTGATCGAGGTGGGCCACGGGTGAACGGACTCATTCATTCATCCAGCACTTATTGAGAGCCTCCTGTGTGCCTCGCGCCGTCCGACGCCAGAGGAGGGCCTCAGCTAACAGGCCAGCGAGTCCGCCAGGCCACCGGCCGCCCGGCCCCACCCGGCCCCGCCGCCTCGGGCCCATATCTCCGGCTCATACGTACCTCTGCCTGGCCCTCTGCCCGCGGTATAGGACCACCTGCCGCCCAACGGCCGCGCGGTCTGGACCCCACAGCTGCCGCCTTAAGCAGCCCTCAGCTTGGGGTGCCGCTGCCCTCGCCCCGCCTATGTCCATGCCCATTGGCCGTCCCGAGATCCGCCAGCCAATTACCACGAATCATTGGCTATTAAGGTTGCCACTCATTCTACGACTCTACCTCTCCTACCGGCAGAGTAAAGTAGTTTCTTCCCGCGGAGCGGCTGGCGCAGCCATCAAGAGGCTCCGGCGGCAAACTTGGATCATAGAGGAGCGGTTCCGGTAGCGTTTGGCTTCCAGAGCTGTCCAGGGACGGCTGGTGCTGAATTCCGCTGTGATGGACGCTGGGCTGTGGACGGGACGTTATTTCCTAAGAGAGACGGTTCCTCTACGAGTGTCCTACCTGCTGAGGCCCTTCCCGTCCCCTTAAGAAGCAGATTATTTTATTTTTAATTTCCATATATTAATGGGGGTACAAGTTCAATTTTGTTACATTGATATATTGCAATGTGGTGCAGTCAGGACATTCAGCACATCCATCACTGGAGCAACACACATTGTACCCCCAAGCAGCCTGCCATCACCCACCACCTCCCGCCTACATCCCTCTTCCACGTGAACACACTATTTAGTTCCCACTTTTAAGTGAGAACATGCAGTATCTGTCTGAGTTGTTTCACTTACGATAATGGCCTCCAATTCCATCCATGTGGCTGCAAAATAAATTATTTCATTCTTTTGCAGGGCTGAATAGATTTCATTGAGCATTCCAGGATGTGTGTATGTGCCACATTCCCTTTATCCAATTTTCCATTGATGGACACTTGGGTTGATCTTGTATCTTTGTTATTTGAACAGTGCTGTAATAAACATACAAGTTCAGGCATATTTTTAATAAATTGATTTATTTTCCTTTGGTTAGATACCCAGTAGTGGGATTGATGGATTGTATGGTAGTTATATTTTTAGTTCTCTGAGAAATCTCCATACTTTTGAGAAGCAGATTCATCAATTCAACAAATCTCTGTTGAGAGACAGGAGGAATACATTCAAGTTATATCATAGTGGCTACAGTTAATAACAATGTATTATATACTTAAAGTTTATAAGAAAGTAGATTTAAAGTATTCTCACCACAAAAAATAATAATGTAAATTAATACACATGTGTTTTGTTTTTGTTTCTTTGAGACAGAATCCCCTTTGTTGCCTTCAGTAGAGTGCGATGGCATCATAGCTCACAACAACCTCAAACTCCTGGGCTCAAGCGATTCTTTTGCCTCAGCCTCCCAAGTAGCTGGGACTACGGGCACCCACCACAATGCCCAGCTATTTTCAGAGACAGGGTTTCACTCTAGCTCAGGCTGGTCTCAAACTTGTAACCTCAGGTGATCTGCCAGCCTCAGCCTCCTAGAGTGTTGGGATTACAGGTGTGAGCCATTGCACCCGGCCTGAATGAATACATGTGTGTTTTGTTTTGTTTTGTTTTGTTTTTTTGAGACAGAGCCTCAAGCTGTCCCCCTGGGCAGAGTGCCGTGGCATTACAGCTCACAGCAACCTCCAGCTCCTGGGCTCAAGCGAGTCTCCTGCCTCCGCCTCCCAAGTAGCTGGGACCACAGGCGCCCGCCACAACGCCTGGCTATTTTTTGGTTGCAGCCGTCATTGTTGTTTGGCGGGTCCAGGCTGGGGATTCGAACCCGCCACCTTAGGTGTACGTGGCTGGCGCCTTAGCCGGTTGAGCTATAGGCGCCGAGCCAATACATGTGTTTAAAAAAAAAAACTTAGTTGAGTGTCTATGTGCCAGGACTTTTTCTAGGAGAACATCTGTGAACAAAACAAAAATCTCTCTCCTTTCAAAGCTTAGCTTCTATGGGAAATAATAGGCATAACAAATCAGAGAGTTATGACAGTGCTGATAAGTGTTCTAGAATAATAGAGCCCAATAAGGGCTATTAAGATTGCTAGATTAAAAAAAAAAAAAGATTGCTAGGTTGGCTGGGTGCAATAGCTCATGCCTGTAATCCTAGCATTCTGGGATGCCAAGGAGGGTGGATCGCCTGAACGCAGGAGATTAAAGACCAGCTTGAGTGGCAGGACTCAGTGGCTAATGCCTGTAATCCCAGCACTTGGGAGGCTGAGGTGGGTGGATTGCCTGAGCCCACCACTTCGAGACCAACCTGAGCAAGAGTGAGACCCTCATCTCTAAAAAAATAGCTGGGCATTGTGGAGGGTGCCTGTAGTGGAAGCTAAGGCAAGAGAATCACTTAAGTCCAAGAATTTGAGGTTGCTGTGAGCTGTGATGCCACAGCACTCTACCATGGGCAACATAGTGAGACTCTATCTCAAAAAAAAAAAAAAAGGCCAGCCTGAGCAAGAGCAAGACCCCTACCTCTACTAAAAAAAGAGTTATGGCAGGTGCCTGTAGTCCCAGCTACTCAGGAAGCTAAGGCATGAGGATAGCATGAACCCAAAAGTTTGAGGTTGCTGTGAGCCATGACACTGCAGCACTTAATCCAGGATGACAGAATGAGACCCTGTCTCAAAAAAAAAATGCTAAGTGGTGGACTTTTATTTTAAATAAGATGGTCAGATAGAGCTCATTGAGAGATATTTAAGAAGAGACTAGAATATGGAGAAGTTAGTCAAATGGACATATGAAGGCAAATCATTCCACAGGCAGAAGGAACTTCTGAGGCTGGGAGTGTACAAGGCTGCCATGGCCACAACAAAAAGTGAGGTGGGAAACTGTAGTTGGAGATGAGGGAGATCATGAAAGACCTTAGAGGCCTTCCCAAAGTTGACAGAACTTTGAGGGAAATATAAAACCATTACAGAATTTTTATCAGAGATGTAATAGAGCCAAAATATTTTAATGGAATTTTGGTGGTTATTTTGATGCTGCTGAAGATCAAGTAAAAGCAAGGCTGATTATTAACAAGTCACCTTTTTAAAGATAAATTGAAAAAGATTGATTATTCCACAGCCTCATAAAAGCAACCAGACTTATGGAAGATAAATCTAGATTCATTTGTTGCTCCCAATCTTTTTGCTGGCCTACCAAGGAGCTAGGCAGGGAAAAAATGCTGAGTGAAATAAGCCAGTCACAAAAAGACAAATTTCATAGTATCCCACTCATAGGAGGTCCCTAAAGTCATCAGATTCACAGAGACAGGAAGTGGGAGGGTGGTTCCAGGGATTTGGAAGGGAGGTGAGGAATTAGTGTTTCATGGGGCTAGAGATTCAGTTTGGGAAGATGAGAAAGTTCTGGAAAAGATGGTGGGTGGTGATGGTTGCACAACAATGTGAGTGGTCTTAATGTCTCTGAACTGTACATTTAAAATGGTTAAAATAGTAAATTTTATGTTGTGTGTATGTAATCACAATTTCTAAAAATAAATTTTAAAAGTTTAAAAGAATAAAATGGGAAAAAAAGCGAAACCCCTTCTCTCAAAGGTTATAGTCCAGTGAGAGAGACAGTTATTAATGAAACATACTGTAGGAAGCAGACTATGACCATCCCAAAGGCTCCCTTCCTCCTGGTATTCACACCCTTGTGTGAAATTCCTTCTCCTTGAGTGTATACTGGACCTAACGATTTGATTCTAACAAATAGAATATGGTAAAGTGGTGATATGTCATTTCTGTGATTAGGTTATGGAAGATTGTGACTTCCATTTTTTTTTTTTTTTTGAGACAGAGTCTCAGTATGTTGTTCTCAGTAGAGTGTCATGGCATCACAGCTCACAGCAAACTCAAATTCTTGGGCTTAAGTGATTATCTTGCATCAGCCTCCCAAGTAGCTGGGACTACAGGCCCCCACCACAACACCTGGCTATTTTTTTGTTGCAGTTGTTTAGCCAGCCCAGGCCAGGTTTGAACCTGCCACTCTCGGTGTACGTGGCTGGGGCCCTAACCACTGTGCTACAGGCGCTGAGCCTGTGACTTCCATTTTTCTACACTCTATCACCTTCTTGGCGTTCATGCTTTGGTGGAACAATCTAAGATGCTGGACAGGCCATGTGGCGAGGAACTGAGGGTCCCTCCAGTCAATAGTCAGCAAGGAAATGAGACCCTCAATATAAGAGCCCATAAGAAATTGAATCCTGGTAACATCTCCATTTGTGATCCTGGAAAGGGGTCCTGCTCCAGCTGAGCCTTCAGATGAGACTACTTTCCAGTGGTTACCTTAATTGCAGCCTCTGAAAGTCCCTGAAACAGAAAACCCAGCCAAGCTGCACTTGGATTCCTCAACCACAGAAACTGAGATGATACATGCTATTTCAAGCAATTAAGTTTGGGGGTAATTTGTCATGCAGCAGTAGATATAGGCAGTTTCTGGGCTGCCTGTAACTAATACACACATATAACAGAAAAACTATAGGTTTGACTAAGGGCCATGAAGATAAAAACAGAAAGAATTCTTTGTGGGAATTAACCCAAGTCAAGTGTGCTAAAAAGTAGGGACTACATAGAGGATCGTTCGTTAAAAAAGAAAAAAGAAAAAAGAGAAAAAGTAGAAAAGGGCTTGCTGTATTTGAGGAAGCCAGGCTTGATTAATGTTAGGAGAGATGAGAGGTAAGGTAAGGCCCATAGATTATGCTATAGAATTTAGATTTTACGGTAAGTGTAATGTGATTCAATGAAGGTTTTTAAGCAGGTGAAGGTTGTAATCTAGTTTATGTTCTAAGGTTATTTTGAGTCACATACAGAGAAAGATTGAACTATAGAGAAACAAGAATGGAAGCAGAGAGGCTAGTTAAGAGTCATTTGGGCAAGAATCAATGGAAGTTTTGCTGAGGGAATAGAAGGGGGACATGAAGGAGAATGGGTGAATTTGAGAAATATTTTGGAGGGTGAACCGATAGGACTTGGCACTGGTTTGCCTTGTAGGTGGCAGGGGAAGGAGGTGTCAGGGATGACTTCTAGCCTTCTGGTTTGGTGTTGTTCACTAAAATAGGAAAGGCTGGAGGAGGCACAGATACTGAAGGTGTCAAAAGATTGAGTTCAGTTTCACAGAGGTTATGTAGGAGATGTCTATGAGTTCTTAGCATTTAATACCATTTTCTGCCTGCATGGTGCT